AACAACTGCCTCTTGGTCCATGTACCGATTCCTCATGAGCACAATTAAGGGTTCTGGAATACTCACACTTTGCAATGTTGTCCATAGCTTGTCATGATCCACACAATCAAAAGCCTTTGTATGGTCAACTTAGCATCTGACAAACATTTAAATTAAGACTTGGTATGAAACTACAAAATAATTTTACAATTTGAATTCAATTTGTTGTTAAGTTCCATTGAGTTTGTTCGGACTCATAATGACCCTGTATAGGGCTTCCAAGGAGTGGCTGGTGAGTTTGAACCACCAACTTTATAATTCAAATTGACTTTTCAATCCAGTGCTTTATCCCAGAATTCAACCTACATACCTATAATTACCTTGTTGATGCTGTTAGCTGCTGTTGAGTCATCAACTGGATTCATGATGACTCCAAGCAAAATGGATTGAAATGCCACTTGGTCCTGCACTGTCTTCATGATCCATTTCAGATTTGACTGTTGGGATCCACAGTATTTTCACTGATTGATTTTCAGAAATCGATCACCAAACCTTTCTTCATTGTTCTTCTTGGTCTGGGAGCTCCACGGAAATCTGTTCAGCCTTGTAGCAACATGGAAGCCTCCACTGACAGATAGATGGGTAGTGGCATTGGCTGGAAAGTGAATCCAAGTCTACCACACGGAAGGAGAGAATTCAACATCTGGCCCACCACTGCTCTCTATTAATGTCCAGATAGCCAATAATCCCAACTATTTATGAGTTTGAATCAATAGAAATAATAAGCTCAAAAATGATTTGTTGTGAAACAGATATAAATAGACTCAGATGGAGCTACCTGAAATCATTGGTTGCAAATAATAGCTCTCCTCATATAATATTTGCTCTGGTAGCATAGTGGTTACAAGTAGGCCTGCTAACCTCAAGGTCAGCAATTCAAAACTACCAGCTGTTCTGTTGGAGAGGCTTTCTGCTCCTGTAAAAATTTAAAGCCTCAGAAACCCTGTACAGGGTCACTATGAGTCAGAACTGACTCCATGGCATACCACCACCACCACAGTATCTTCATTTTTTAATATTTGATGAGACACTTCAAACAAATACCTATTTGATCACCAACCTTTTTGCCTCTCACCTATCATACCAGTTTGCAGAACCATGGTATATATAATGAGTCAAACCAAGGACCAATCCTGGCTCCACATTCATACCAGCTGTGTCTCCTTCAGCCAGTGACATATTTTCCTCATCTGTAAGACAGGGCTGTGGTCTTAGATCAACAAAATAAAAACCAACAGTAGTTAGAAAAGGTAAAACTTTTAAGGATAATCTATCTAAAACTTTGAGAAACAATGACAATGACTAGGATGACTATGCAAAATCTAAGAGTTCTTCAACGTTCAAAAATAAAACTGAGAAATCGGGGTAGAAGGACTGTAAGATACCATGATGGGGATGATGATAAAAGCTTAGAAAATGTGTTAGATGATTGTACCTTATGACCCTGAGAGAAAACCAGTTCATTTCAAAGAAAAACTGGGCTGGGATTTATGGTGGAAGCTGGTTGTTGAAATTATTTTTTGTCTTACAATTCAGGGACTATATTTATATTTTGCTATGAAAAGTTATGAATGTAACTAAATCATGACTGTTATTTTTATTTGCACTTGCTTTTCTAGCAGCATTTAGCACAGGTGACAAAATATGCTTCATTTTGGAGGCAGATGTACTTTTGATAGCATTTGACTACATGAAGTTATAGTTTGAAATTTGTTAAACACTAGACATCTGGGTTATGAAAACCAATGGGCATTACTTTCATGGTAGCAAATGTCATGCAATTATTTTTTTAATTTGTCAAGAGGTGGTAGTTTCTCACCCCCTGTTCTTAGCAGTGTAATAATTTCCTATGACCTATGTTGACAGAGTTTCCGTAAATATTATGTACATACTGACATTACAATCGGGGGGGTACAATCATGATTAGTAGGCAAAGTACCTAGCACCTTTCTTTTCCTCTTTTCTGGTAAAATTTCTCTGGCTACTTTAATAGAATACATTATACCAGATTTGGTCATTTTCATTGAAAACCTTTTTAGGTTCTTTCTTTCTGTCTTTCTTTTCTTCCTTTCTTAGGGAAAACATTATCACTTTTATTTTATAAACTTTAATTTATAAAGTACTGATAAATTATTATTAAAAAAAAAAATTATGTTAGATCATGTAGACCAAAGCCTGCCATACGAGTCCAACTGCTAGCCTCAAGGTTAGCAGTTCGAAACTACCAGCCATTCTGCTCACATAAAGATTTACAGATTCGGAAACCCTATGCAGGGTCGCTGTGAGTCGGAACCGACTCCACAGCACACCATCACCACCACCTCATCATCAGTCCACCAACCACCCCATAAATCAAACTAGCTTCATTTACGGTTTTCCATAATGTACATCAACTTTACTCTCAGACAAAGAAGGCAGCATTCAGCCATGGTGAGTCAAAAGGTCCAAGAGGAAAGATGTTGAAATGCTTAGCACGCCCTGCAGGGCCATCTGCTCTGCATTAGCCACCCTTCCTCTGTTTATTATTCCTTGAGTTAAATCTCCTCCAATTCTTATGTGAAAAGTTGGGACACACAATGACCCCTTTATCACACTTTCAAAATCTGGGCCTGTTCTGCAAAGTTTACACCTTTTTCTTGTTGCCATTGTTTTCATGTGGATTGGAATTTCTGAAAACAGCATCTGGAATGTTTTGCTGGAAATGCTTGTGTATAAGCTGGATACAGACAAATATCACCTAAGGAAGAAGATGAGCTGTCAGAGGAATCACATCCACACTGCATGGGCTCTGTGTCACCCACCAGCTGGAACTGTTAGAGAAACTGAGGCTGAGCTGGTCAACAGCCCCCTCGGCCTCTCTTTTATAGGTACAGAAAATGTATGATAACAAAAGGTTATAAAACATAGTGTGTTAGTGCAGTCAAGTCAGTGCCGGCTCATAATGACCCTGTAAAGGGTTTCTGAGGTTGCAAATCTTTGTGGAAACAGAAAAATCTCAACATATCTGCCATAAAGCAGCTGGTGAGCTCAAACTGCCAACCTTGTGGTTCCCAGCTGAGCGCTTATCCTACAGAGCCAGTGTGCCCCCATAACTCTGTAAAAACAAGTATATCAGAATAACAACGCTGGCTACCATTCGCTGAGCATTATTTGTGTGTAGGGCTTCACTCATAGCTTCCATCTAGGACAGAGTAGAACTGTACTTGAGGGTTTTCAAGACTAAATCTTAATGGGAACAGCCTCATCCTTTTCCTGGTTGTTGTTGTTAAGTGCCATCGAGTCGGTTCTGATCCATAGCGACCCTGTACAGGGTTTCCGAGGTAGTGGGTTTAAAACACCATGCAGTTAGCAGGACTCCTGGTGTGATGCTATAGGATCAACACTGGACTGTGAACCACAAGGTCGGCAGTTCAAACCTACCGGCTGCTCTTCAGAAACCCTATCAGGGTCACTGACTCCATGGCACTTAACAACAATGCAGTTAGCACCCCAACACTTACTCCAAAGTGGTACCAGGGTTCCAAATGCTAATGGAGCCTGTGAGTTAGGCATACACCCAGTGCTGACCCTTTCAGCCACATGTGAGAAAAACCACCTCAAACTGGCTCACAATATAAAGGACTAATACAGGAGAAGGTCACAACCAAGCAGTTTCTGTCGGTCCACTCTAACTCATGGAGACCTCATGTGTGTCAGAAGTTTTCAACGGTGGACTTTTTAGAAGCAGATCACTAGGCCTTTCTTCCAAAGTACCTGTGGATAGGTTTGATCTGTCAGCTTTTTGGTAAGTAGCCAAGGACTTGTGTGCCTCCCCCGGACTCCACAACACTCACGACAGCTGCAAGTTCTGCATCAGGTAAAGGGATGTAAGTGAAGCACCAATAGTGACTGTTACCACTGAGCAGGCCTGGTGTAGCACTGTGCATTAATGCGCTCGACTGCAAAGTCGCTTTGAACCACAAGGTCAGCGGTTCAAGCTAACCAGCCTCTCATTGGAAAAACTATGCAGGGTCACTATGAGTCAGAACCAATTCAACAACACTTAACAACAACAACTACTAAGCAGGTGTGAGCCGGGATGCAAGGCCTCCGGCAGAGTGAGTAGTTAGACAACATCACTTTCCCAGGATTCATTGGGGGGATAAACTGATGGTGGTCATTCCTAAGATGAGGGGAACAATGTGCTGAGAGGCAGTGAGCAGAGGCTGGAACAGTGACTTGGCTACGGTTCAGCATGTGACCCTCACCTCTGGCTGAAGGAGCAAAGCAGGACTCTGGCTCTGCCCATAAAAGGCCACAGAGCTGTGAGCAGTTTCTGGTTGCCATCGGGAAGATAGGCTGCCACTGAAGGACAATAAATGCAAAACTGCCTCCATTAATCAGGTCACAGGATTAGATATGAATGGCTGAAGCCTTGCCAACAAGCTCCAGCTCCGACAGCTGACCAGAAAAGTCAGGAGGCTCTTAAGCAAAAACATGCCTCTGAGAGCCCAGACGAAGCCTATCTGGAGGAGGCCTGCATAGCTCACATACACAGCCGTCTAGCCTGAGGTCAGAGAACAGAGGGCCCTGCAGACCCCGTCACTACCAGATGCCAGAGCAGTAGACAGGACCCATGGAAACCAGAGAATGTGATGGTTCCTGGACAAGAAAACTCTCTCCCTGTCCTCGCTCAGTGTGTGATACATGGGCGGGTCCTGGATGGTACTTACTACATTTGTAAAAATGGTGCTTTTTTCCCCTTTCAACACTCTGCCCCCCCCACAAGGTGATTTTGAGGCTTCTCCCCTTAAGAAGTGGAGTATGTCTCCCGGTCACCTGAGTCAGGGCAAACCTTGTGACACTGTGACCAGGAGAATACAGTGGAAGTGATGGGATGTGGGGTCTCACGCTAGGCCTGAAGAAGCCTGGCACACACACACTTGCTCTCTCAGGATCCCACTGGACTGCCATGTGACAAGCCTACACACACCACTGGACTGAGTGACCATGCCCAACAGAGGCAAGTTAACATAAAAAATGTCACCACTAACTCAATTCTACCTTATGGCGACCCCAGGTAGGACTCTCCATGGTATTTTCTTAGCTATAATCTTTACAGAGTCCTGGTGTAGTACTAGAGGGTAAGCACTGGACTGCTAACCACAAGGTTGGAGGTTCAAACTCACCAGCTGCTCCTCAGAAATTCTATACAGGGTCTCTCTGACTCGGAACTGACTCGAGGTCATTTACTTACTACTACTAATAATCTTTATGGAAACTGTTTGTCCGCTCTTTCTCCCACTTGGTAACTGTTGTTACTGTAAACGCCTTTGAATTGGTTCCAACTCAGTAACCCTGTACAGGGTTTCCAAGGAGCAGCTGGGGAGTTTGAATCGCTGTGGTTTAAACCAACCTTGTGGTCCAGTGCTTAGCCTACAGTGCCACACCAGGTCTTCCTTCTTCCACTGTGGTTGTTAGGTGCCATCGAGTCGGTACTGACCCACAGCGACCTTATGCACAGCAAAACAAAACACTGCCCGATCCTGGGCCAACCTCACTACTGTTGCCACACTTGAGTCCACTGATGCTGCCACTTGGCCAATCCATCTTATTGGGGGTCTTCCTCTTTTTTCTCTGACTCTCCACCTTACTAAACATGATATCCTTCTCCAGCGACTGGTCCCTCCTGACAATATGTCCGAAGTCTGAGAGACGAAGTTTGGCCATCTTGGCCTTCAAGGAGCACTCTGGCTGCACTTCTTCCAAAACAGATCTATTGGTTCTTTTGGCAGTCCATGGCACTTTCAGTATTCTCCTCCAACACCATAGCTCAAAAGCATCAATTTTTCTACGGTCTTCCTTATTCACTGTCCAGCTTTTGCATGCATCTTTCACTGCGTGGGTTAAAACTGTCAAACTTTAAGTCAGTAGACAAGCACAAATTCTACCACCCAGTGCCTAAGCCATCTTAGTTTTATATAAATGGCTTCATTAGTGTGATCTATGGGGTTTGGCCTCTTTAGCTCAACATTGTGTTCACATAGAGCACATGCACATGCTTTTTTATTGCTCTATGTAGGATTCTATTGCATGGATAGCCCACAGTTTATTTATTCGTTTTCCTCTTGAAGGGTGTGAAAAAGGGCATCAGTCATGTCTCCCACTGCCCTCTCTACTCCTCATGCTGGGTCCCATAATGCGTTGCAGCGGCCACAGAGGACTCCGACACCACCACACTCACAGTTATGGGTTAATTAGGGGAAGCTGTTGTTGTTGTTAAGTGCCCTCAAGTCAGTTCTGACTCAAAGTGACCCTGTATAGGGTTTCTGAGGAACGGCTAGTAGGGAAGGTTACAATTCAGGGTTAGAAATGCTCAGGACACAGTTGTTCCAATCAGGCCAGCCTCTCCTCAGCCATGCACACTCAGGCCTCTCTCTGCCTGGCCAATATTACAAAGCTTTCTTAGCACAGAGCACTCCACCATAAGACTCAGCCAAGGAGTTCTGGTTGCGTAGTGGTTAAGACTCAGGCTGCTAACCTCACGGTCAGTAATTCAAAATTACCAGCCATTCAGCAGGAGAAAGATGAGGCTTTCTGCTCCCATAAAGATGTACAGCCTCCAAAACCCTATGCACGGTCACTATGAGTGGGAACGAATGCCACGGTACACCACCACTGCCATAAGCCTCAGCCTAACAGTATTCACAGTAGCTCTGTGGGTCAGCAAACCTAGCTTCCTCAATTTAAGTGCCTGGTGACACCTCACTCTGCAAACAATCCTCCTCCCCAAAGCCACTCAGCTTCACTGGCTTCATGGGTTGGGATGCCCACTGCTCTATCTCATGAGCTGGCCCTTGGTTCTGCGCTGCCATTCCTCTGCTACTCCTCCAGTGTCAAAGCTTTCTGTCCCTGAGTCAAAGAGTTTCAGTGAGCAAGAATCTCAGGGTCCAAAGGATGCACTTCACTCCTAACTCTTGTTACTTGATGGAAGTAAGATTCCCCTCCACCCCTGGCTTCTTAGATAATTCATTTTAATACCAATGCTAGAGTTTCCAAATTTTACAACGAATTAACTCAGTTCACATCCACAGCTGGAGCAGGTCATCCTACCAGTGTTTCTCCCACCTTCTCTTACCCAGACCCATCAGAAAAACAGTCTTTTGGTGGCAGTTATAAATACAAAGTCTAGAAGAGACATATTAAATAATTCACTAGACAACAATGGGCATTTGAGTGGTTTCCAGTTTGGGGCTGAGTATCTGGTGGAAGCCTGTGGATAGACATAAGCACCCTCTTCTCTCACTGTGACTATGAGTCTCTCCTGGCCCTTTCTGGGCATCAAGGCTCTGGAGCAGTAGTTGAGTGTACTGCTGGCCTGTTGTTGTTAGGTGCCATCGAGTTTGTTCTGACTTACAGCAACCCCATGCACAATAAAATGAAACACTGCCCAAGCCCATGCTATTGTTACAATGTTACACTTGAGTCCATTGCTACTATGACTGTGCCAATGAATCTTGTTGGGGGTCTTCCTCTTTTTCACTGACTCCTCACTTTATGAACCATCATGTCCTTCTCCAAGGACTGATCCCTCCTGATAACAAGTCTGAAATATGAGAGATAAAGTCTTTCCATTCTGGCTTCTAAGGAGCATTCTTGCTGTGCTTCTTCCAACA